TAAGTTTTGAGCAGCACATCACAAAACTTGCGCAATCATGTTTTTACCAGCTTAGCTATGTTAACTTTTAAGGACAGTGAGACCATTTTACACGCCTTCATCTCATCATGCCTGGATTACTGCAGCAGCCTTTTTACTTGCTTGACCCAAAATTCTGCCAGGCTTTTAACCAGAACAAAGAAATTTGACCACGTCATCCTTGTTTTAGCTGCATTACACTGGCTCCCAGTATGTTTTAGAATTGATAATTTTACTGATCACTTTGAAAGCTCTTCATGGCCTCTCTCCCTGTTATATACAGTGGGTACGGAAAGTATTCAGACCCCTTTAAATTTTTCACTCTTTGTTTCATTGCAGCCATTTTCCAAAAATCAAAAAAGTTCATTTTATTTCTCAGTAATGTACACTCAGCACCCCATCTTGACAGAAAAAAAACAGAAATGTAGAAATTTTTGCAAATTTATTAAAAAGAAAAACTGAAATATCACATGGTCATAAGTATTCAGACCCTTTGCTCAATATTTAGTAGAAGCACCCTTTTGATCTAATACAGCCATGAGTCGTTTTGGGAAAGATGCAACACGTTTTTCACATCTGGATTTGGGTATCCTCTGCCATTCCTCCTTGCAGATCCTCTCCAGTTCTGTCAGGTTGGATGGTAAACGTTGGTGGACAGCCATTTTCAGGTCTCTCCAGAGATGCTCAATTGGGTTTAAGTCAGGGCTCTGGCTGGGCCATTCAAGAACAGCCACGGAGTTGTTGTGAAGCCACTCCTTCGTTATTTTAGCGGTGTGCTTAGGGTCATTGTCTTGTTGGAAGGTAAACCTTCGGCCCAGTCTGAGGTCCAGAGCACTCTGGAAAAGGTTTTCGTCCAGGATATCCCTGTACTTGGCCGCATTCATCTTTCCCTCAATTGCAACCAGTCGTCCTGTCCCTGCAGCTGAAAAACACCCCCACAGCATGATGCTGCCACCACCATGCTTCACTGTTGAGACTGTATTGGACAGGTGATGAGCAGTGCCTGGTTTTCTCCACACATACCGCTTAGAATTAAGGCCAAAAAGTTCTATCTTGGTCTCATCAGACCAGAGGATCTTATTTATCACCATCTTGGAGTCCTTCAGGTGTTTTTTAGCAAACTCCATGCGGGCTTTCATGTGTCTTGCACTGAGGAGAGGCTTCCGTCGGGCCACTCTGCCATAAAGCCCCGACTGGTGGATTGCTGCAGTGATGGTTGACTTACTACAACTTTCTCCCATCTCCCGACTGCATCTCTGGAGCTCAGCCACAGTGACCTTTGGGTTCTTCTTTACCTCTCTCACCAAGGCTCTTCTCCCCCGATAGCTCAGTTTGGCCGGACGGCCAGCTCTAGGAAGGGTTCTGGTCGTCCCAAACGTCTTCCATTTGAGGATTATGGAGGCCACTGTGCTCTTAGGAACCTTAAGTGCAGCAGAAATCTTTTTGTAACCTTGGCCAGATCTGTGCCTTGCCACAATTCTGTCTCTGAGCTCTTCAGGCAGTTCCTTTGACCTCATGATTCTCATTTGCTCTGACATGCACTGTGAGCTGTAAGGTCTTATATAGACAGGTGTGTGGCTTTCCTAATCAAGTCCAATCAGTATAATCAAACACAGCTGGACTCAAATGAAGGTGTAGAACCATCTCAAGGATGATCAGAAGAAATAGACAGCACCTGAGTTAAATATGAGTGTCACGGCAAAGGGTCTGAATACTTATGACCATGTGATATTTCAGTTTTTCTTTTTTAATAAATTTGCAAAAATTTCTACATTTCTGTTTTTTTCTGTCAAGATGGGGTGCTGAGTGTACATTACTGAGAAATAAAATGAACTTTTTTGATTTTTGGAAAATGACTGCAATGAAACAAAGAGTGAAAAATGTAAAGGGGTCTGAATACTTTCCGTACCCACTGTATCTGACCTTTTAGTCCCATACACACCAGCATATACCTTGAGATCCTCGGGCAGAGGTCTGCTGTTTGAGTCTCGACTGAAACTAAAGGGGACAGAGCGTTTGCAGTCAGGGCCCCGAGGCTCTGGAACAGCCTGCCCAAGGAAATCAGGTCAGCTGAGTCAGTGAACTCTTTTAAGTCCCTTCTTTGAACATACTTTTATAGGAGAGCCTTTCCCGATATATATTTTATATTTCCGGCCTTTCTGTGTGGAGTTTGCATGTTCTCCCCGTGTCTGCGTGGGTTCTCTCCAGGTGCTCCAGCTTCCTCCCACCGTTCAGACATGCGGACTAGGTTAATTGGTGACCCTAAATTGTCCTTAGGTGTGAGTGTGAGTGGTTGTCTGTCTATGTGTGACCCTGCGATGGACTGGCGACCTGTCCAGGGTCTACCCCGCCTTTCGCTCGATGTCAGCTGGGATTGGCTCCAGCCCCCCGCGACCCTGTACGCAGGATAAGCAGTTGACGATGGATGGATGGATGGATGCATAGATATATTTTATATTTACTTTAAACGTGTATTTTAGTGTTGTCTTGCTTTTATCAAGTATTTGTTTTATTGTCTTTACACCTGTTAAAGCACTTTGTAACTAGTCTTTGAAAAGTGCTCTACAAATAAAGATTATTATTATTATTATTATTGACCAAATCTCAACTGTCCAAAGCATCACCAGGCTTACTTGATAAGGCTGCACTGACATTTTGTATAACATTTATACTTTAATCACACTAATTTGAAAGAGAAGTGCTCTTAAATAATACCTGCATGACACACAACTGCACAGTGTGAGGTACTTTCAACATTGTAAATGACATAATGACAGCACCATATGATATTACGTTTGCCAAACAATATAACAGTAAGAAAACAGCAGGGTTAGGAAATGTATTTTTCTCATCAACATAATGCTGGCAGCACAGGGTCCCTCATCATGACAATACCACACAGTACTGTAAACATTACAAACTTTAAATAACACTAGTGTGGAATTCATATAACTTAATTAAACTTGATTAAAATAGATAAAGATTGCAGATTAATTGTTAACAAAAACCTTTTATTCTAATAGGGTTCATTTTGGACCTACTTATGGAAGAGTGTAGGTCACAATGGTCTATATACAGTATCTAAGGGTAGACTTATGAGAGACTAATGGACTAACATGATTGAGATCTCTGGAAAACATTTCTTATTCTAGAATTTGCCAGTTTTTAAATTAAACAAAAATGCCTGATAATAACTAAAAAGTGATATCACACAGCAACAGGTGCAACAAGCAATATTAAGCCACATAAATTAAGCAACATTTCTTATGAATTAACAACAGAGTGAGCAGCACCAAGGCAGCCAACATGGAGATGTATACACAATGTAAACTCCACTGCAGCTACAGCCCACAAACACATACATAAAAGCAAAATGAGAGCCAACCTGGTTTTTACACATGGAATAGCGCACACGCACACGTTAGGCAACGTGCAGTGGTTGCTGACGTTCTCCTCTGTGCAGTGTATCGCAACAATCATTGAGTTTGCTTTTGTACTCAAACGTCTGAACATCATTCTGAGTCTTGTGCACCACAAAGTCCCCCACAATCTGCTCTAGGTTCAACTTCACTGCTCGTTCATGCTCAACTCATTATTTAAGCACTCAGCTTCTCTGTGCCACTTCGCTTCCTCAAAGTTTTCAAAAGTTTTGAGCCAAATCCTCGGCAGTCAGCTGTGACAGAGATTGTCAAAAGTTCCTAAGTGAGCGTAGAAGTCACAGATGGAGGATCCACCATGAGCATCATAGCCAGACCCAGCATGAACCTGTTGGTGGTTTGATTTGTGTCACTTAGTTCTTGCCTGGTGGTGCATTAAGTCAGTGATTCATTAAGGTAGTTTTTTAAGTATGCTGGGGTACAAGCGCTCAGTGTGTGAATGATGTAGTGTAAAAGCACTTTGAGTGGTTGTAAAGACTAGAAAGATGCTATACAAGTACAGAGCATTTACATTTACAACAATACTAACCATAATCATAACCCGTGATGATGCCATTCTTAATTTTATTGCATTGTTGTGCATGTTGTTTACTAACTGCAAGCCCCGACCTGGGTGCAACCACACCCATCATATCCCCCAACGCTCTGCCAGTGAATGTATACCATTACACATTACAGCAGGTATCTTTTCCACTGTGTCACCTCTCTGGAGCTCTTCCCCTTCTGCACCGGCAGACATACCAGCAGCTTCCTCTCTGATTTCTCTCTGTTCTCATGTACACTGTTCATCACGACTTCAAGTGAGTGAGAGAGGTGATGGAGCAGTGGATAAGACATACCTTTGGTGTGAGAGACCCGGGTTCAACTCCCCACTGTGATCATCCACCATTGTGTCCCTGAGTAAGACACTTAACCCCTAGTTGCTCCAAAGGCGTGCGACCTCTGACATATATAGCAATTGTAAGTTGCTTTGGATAAAAGCATCAGCTAAATGTAATATGACTTCAGTTTTTACTCTGTGTCTTGAAATGTAGCAGTACAATACCTGAAAATAAAAAATGCATAAGTAAAAGTAAAGTGACAGACTATTACAGTACACAAAAAAAGACTTTGTTACAACAAGAGTGAATGTAATTTGTTACTTCCACACCAACCTACAGCTGTGCGCTATAACTCACATATTACAGTATATGCTATAGTGTTACTACTGTGTCTCTCAGCTTCTGCTCTACTCACATCTGTGACACCTGTGTCCATGTGGGTGTTTTTGCAGCTTTTTCATTGACAGACAGTGTAATGATGACAGTATGAATGAGCCCCGCTGGGTCTCGCAGCTGCCATACACTAGTCTCCTCACACTACTGGAGAATGTCAATCAGCTGCCCCCCTGCATGGCCTCTCTTATCACCTGTGTGTGTGTGTGTGTGTGGGTGCCTACACACACACACACACACACACACACACACACACACACACACACACACACACACACACACAAACGTACAGCTGTATGATTGTCACTCTGGTTTGTCATTTTCTTGGCAGGTTTGGCAAAGCCTATGGGGCTAGTTGAGGGGCCAGGAGGCCTTGGCCAGGGGGGAGCTGCTGCCACTCTGGGAGAAGACAGTCATGACGCCGAGGGGAAATATGAGGAGTATGGCTACAACGCTCAGCTCAGTGACCGCATTTCCCTCGACAGAAGTATCCCCGACTACAGGCCTAAAAAGTATGTCCACCTCCTGTTTCTTCTCATTTTGTGTCATGTACATTCTCCTTCCAACCACAGCTCTACACCTGTTTTTCCCCCTGGCAGGGTTGTGTAAAGCTAGAAAGACTTGTAACTTGAAGGTTTGCCAGTTTAATCCCTGCTGCTGTTTAAAGGCTCTGTTTTTGTAAAGGCACTCAACGTACAGCAGGACTTTTTGCCAGCATACTGGCATTTTCATCAAGTTTTTTATCCTCGTCTTTTTTAGGTATTTATTGGTATTTTGGTGAATGTCCAGGACATTTACTGATAGATTTGAGTTGCAGTACAAGGTGAGTCAGAAATTATAAGCTTTTCTCATGCTTTTGCTCATACTCTTCCACAGTTCACTATCTCTTCTTTGGTTTTATTCCCTTATGGAGAAATATGAGAAAATATGGTGTTTTTTTCTAAATACATGTAGCAGTGATGTGAACCGTTGTTGATCCAACAAAGGACTGTCAGTATGCACTTTGTGAGTATGCACTTCGTTGAGTTTGTTATGTCCCCCACAGATCAGGGAGAGGTTGGTGGATGGATCACTTGAGGCCAATGCAACATGATACCCAAATTAACTTTAAGTATTTCCTAATGTCCTCATCTTTTTCAAGACTTACTTTGCAAAACACTGGATCTGGTACCTGCGTGCTAATGAGATGTATGGCATGTCATGTGGATCAAAAACTGCCTCTCCTTGATTTCCAAAAAGAGAAATGCAAATGTCACCCTTGTAAATTTAATGGCTTCCAGTGGGGAACATTCCTGTACACCTGGTGGTTTATGATTTTGCACTGACCACCCCCAGTTTCCCAGTGGCAAAAGGCATGTTGTAAACTTGCACAAACCCAAGATATCACGAGTCACAGAGCAGTGTATTGCATCTAAAAAACATAATTCAAACAAGTACACTTCTGTGATGTTTGGAGTTCATTTTGCAATGGCCAGCATTAATGTTGTTAGCAGATAACATGTTAGCAGTGTAAATAAACTGTTTGTGACCCATTGGTGTTGAAAAGAGCAGCCTTGGACTTTACACCTTTTAACATTTGATATTTCTTTAATATTTAAGGGAAAAAACTGAAATACATCATCTGTAAGGTAACTTATATCAGAGGGCTCCTGTGATTTTTCAAAATCATGTTATTTTGCATTTATAACAAGGTAGATTGGCTTGCTACAAGTCTTTAGTTAGAATCTCTCATATAACATCTTTGTTCAATTCGGACATGTTTGCATTAATTACACTGATGAGACACTGCTTCGTTCAAACCAAATAGAGATGAAAGAAGAGCGAAATGCATCAAGCTGATTAACAAGTTGTGTTTGTCACTTTGCTGTGGAGAGTTTTGAGAAACCCAAAACACAAGTAGAAGAGCTAGCAAGGCTACCAAAATGTAGCTACAGTACGTCATCTCCAGCTTTCTCCGTCTGTCACGTGACTTCTCCCTTGCACATCATAATGGTTCCTAGAGTCTCCCCTTTCACAAGCCAATCCTTACTTCCTGATTCTTCCTCTTTGTCTGTCTTATTGCCTAACTGCACTTAATCCGTCTGTCATGCAGTACAGTCATTTTGGCCATAGGGTATCTTAGAGCCATGGGGAGTCACACAAAAGAAAATTACTTCCGACACGCCTAATCCTAACATGAAAGAACATGCACAAGATTATGGGGATAGTTGAAGAGCTATGTTACAATGCTGCAATTAAAGGAAACTTGAATTACCAATTTTTTTTATGAAAGGGACCCAGTGGACACCCAGCAAGCCTCAATGGTTCTTTTAAAATACATTTTATATTTATAAAGTGAACTACAGCTGTGATACAGTGAGTGGTGCAGGAGATGGACTGGGGAGGGGGGTAATCAGAGCTGCCAGCGGCATTTATATCACACAGTGTCAAAGAACAATGGCGACAGGCAGAGAAACTGGGAGGAAATCTGACGGCCAAGAGAGGTTTCTAAGGGCTTTAGCAGGGATAACAATTCATTTCATCCACCCGGCTTTGTTTCGAGCTCTTTTTCACGCCCAGAAAAATTAGACAAGAGTGGAACAGGGAGGAGGGGAGCTAGTAAAAAGGAGCTCGCTAATTAATAAGAGAGTGCCTGTGGAATTGAAGGATTTTAAGAAATTCTTTTTTATCAACGGATTTAACAAAAAATGTGACTTAAAGCAAAAGGAAAGTGAGTGTTGGGGGTTTGCTGAAGTGATTGTAACGGCGCTGTCTTTGTGATGTGTCTTCGCGTGTGGATTTAGGGCTAGTTTCATGGGTTGTGACTAGATTCTGCAGGTCTGTCTTCATTCACTCTCTGTTAAACAGTAAGATTCTTCCTTCTTCCGTGCTCAGGCTACAATAATCCATCATGTGTCAATTTCTGATATACCAAGTATATTTTGTGCCCATATATACAAGCACATAGTCTCCAAGCACAAACACAACATGTCGTGTTAAACAAGACAAAGCTTCGGTCTATGACAGCTATCCAATAGGCACACTGTATAATAAAGACTTAGTACATTTGTTGTGAAATCAAATGCAATGAAAAGTGCAAACATAGTCTTCACTGCTTTTTGTGTTTATGTCACTGAAGCAGCTCTTTGGAGAACAAGAGAAACATCAAAGCTCTGTATGTAAAGGAATTGTTCTCAGAAAGAAAACGGATATGAAATAGCCAAGCGCAAAACTGTTGCTGCCAGCATTGTTGTGGCACTGGTAAGGACTTTAAGGTTGCCTTAACACCTAACTTGTTTGTTTCAGTTTAAGCAAACTGGTGCGTTTGTGCAGGAGGTTTGGTTCGTTGATGCTGGCGTGATAGTTGTAAGTCGATCTCGAACAGCGACCGCCCGGTGTCGTACTTTTGTGGTGTAAAATCAAAATGGATGATAAGTATGATATGTGATTTAGCATGAATTTAATATTCCAGTATATCCTATTGAATCCATCTTCTGGCTGTGAACTGTCAAGGAAGGAATCTCATAAATTATCTATATATGCAATCTACAGTATATATTTATGGCAATCCTTTTGTAACCATGGTAACACATATGCACATCAGCACGTGAGCGTGGTGAGATTCAGTCAGAATACTAAATGATGCTGTGCTTGTGTCCTACCTACAATCCCCTCGTGGTATCACCTCTTTTTTTGGCCTGTTTCTTCCTGGTCATCTTCATTTATTAAATTGCAGATTAATAATGTTCACAAACAATCAGTTATTTCTTGAGGTCTTTGGGACACCAGAGAACATAAATAGCTCTATGTTCGTTTGTGAAGAGCTGGTGTGAAAATGAACTGGACCAGAACTAAAAGGCATCAATGTATCACGGTGCTGAACCTTGGTCCAGACCACATGAACCGAATTATGCCCTCAGTTTAAGCTGCTACAGCTCTCTGCCTCATACAATATTCAGCACTGTTACATATTTCTGATTTCTAAATCTGATTCTATAATTATGTCCTGCGGGCAAAAGGTGACTGCAGCACTGCAGAAGTGAGGTTAAATGCAGGAACCAGGCACCTCCTGTCTAATGGGCTTTTAATTGAACAGGAGTCATTGTGATGAGGACTTTGATGACTACAGGGAAGCGCAGTCCATCACAACGACTGAACAATCCGCACTTTCTCAAGCCTCTGTCTTTCCAAAACCAATTCATAATAATAATTATAGCCTCAATTGTTGGCTTGCCTCTCGCACAAAAACTTGTAATCCCCTTTCACTGCCCGCTAGCCTGTATTTCTCTCTTTTGTCCTTCACTTCTGCAAGTGATATTCTTAACTGCGATACCAAGGGACTTATGTAGGCTCTACATTATGGTGACTGAGGCTGCCATTCGCTGTCCTTGGGAGGCTTATGTATGATAACAGCTCATCGGCTGTGAAGAGAAAAAAACAATAAAGGCAAGCAAGCTGGTAAGATTACTGATGCAGACAAAAGAAACAAACGTTAAAAATGTTAAATGTAACTTGTGTCACTCACAAATAGAAAAATGCTATTCGAGGCATGAAACCTGCCCTCCATTTCTCCTCCAAGAGGATTCTTATTCAATTACACCTAATCGCATCTCTATCTCTGTCATCACTTTGTCGAAGATTTGATTTATATTTTGCCAAAATAGTTGTTAAACCCAAAACTATATTGAAGCACAACAGATGCTCAGCTTGCCCATGGACACTTCATTGTGTGTTTGTCTGCCTGTTTGAGGGTGATAACCAGAAAGGGAGGCTAAAGAAACAGTCTTACCTCATCTCCTAAGCGTCTGATACAGCAGAATGGGATCGGAAGGTCTCCGCGGTGCAGGAGCTCCTGCAGCAAATTGTTGCTCTTTCCACTGCTAGAGTTTATCTCCTTGATGTGGGAGGGGAGGGAGGGGGGGAAGAGAAATGACAACGCAAACGATTATCTTTCTGAGAGGAGTGCTCGCGGATTGGAAAGTCGTTTTGGTGTTGCCTGCACTGGGTGGGTTATTGGAGGTTAATGTGAAATTTCACAGCAAATAAGAGCGGCCAGTGGGGAAAAAGTCAGAGGGAGCGACCGGGGCTGCAGGCTGGTGGAGTAGGAGAAGGGGGAGGTGTGATAGGAATTCATCTTAATCTGCCGCTCTGTTTCTGTCAAAACTTGTTCCGGGTCAAATTATGAGTGCTGTCCAGTGAGCTCAGTCCCATTACAAACAGATGAGTCGATCGCTCATCCTGTTACGGCTTTACTAGGCTTCCCCGCTACTGCAGACAGGTACAAATTTAAGGCTGAGCGATGCCCTAAATTGGATCCAGTAACTAGGGCAATGGAACTACAATATTACTTTACGATCTCGACACTGACACAGCCTCACACCACATCTCAACTAGAAGCAATGAGGCTGCTTTGCCCTGTCTGACATTTTCAAGATATTACTCGGTAATAATCATTAAACACAGCCTCTCTACTAGTCGTATACGTGAACAGGAGTGAAATATGCATTGCACTTTATTTTGCACAGTTGCCATG